AAGTTCAATCACAGTGTCTTGTCAGTCATAAGTACAGACAAGCTTTAAAAATCCATTTGGTTATAATTTATTTCATGAATATATACAAATATTCATTTCTTCAGACCAAAGTTTGTTTTTTTTAATAAATGGAATCAACATTTTATAATTTTATATTAGAATGAAAAGGTTTTTAAAAAGAAAAATAAGGGGATATTATAACAAAAGATATTTAATAAAAATAAACCAGAAAAAAAAACTAGACAATACATTGATGAGATCAGTTTATATTTTGTAAGGCTAAACTGTATTTATTAAAGTATACATCCTTGCTTTTGAAGGTTTATTAAGGATTAACAAATTTTATATCAAAAAATCCTTTGGTCTTTCCTCTGAACAATAAAGATTTTGACTATAAAACTGTTTTTTAGTAAGTTTTAGACATTTTTTTCATCATGTCTGTTCATTTTTAAAAAAATCTTTGGATATATATATATATATATATATATATATATATATATATATGCTTCTACAGAACTGTTGCAATGTGGAATGGACTAATAAATGAATGCTTCCCTGATCACTACAATTATAATCTCTGTGTCAATGGTCAACCTACATATTGTCATAATATGCAACCTTTGCTCCCTCCCTATACACTCTTACAACATCCCCATTCAGTAACCCTCTACCTTGAGTGGCACTTAGGTCTTATGTTGAGTGAAAAATTGTGTATAAAAAACCAAAAAAAAAAACACATATGACTACATAAATGTATTTGAAAGTAAAGTGAACATAGATTTAAACAGAAAGAGAAAAAAAATTGAAAATTAAAATATAAAAGAGAGAGCAGAAAGGGAGAAGTTGAAGAGATAAATCTGCAGAAGCTGTGAACAAAGAGGAAGAAACTTTACTCAGATCGTCTCAAATATGATGTAATTCTGTGTACTTCATGTCAGTCCTCTTATACTAGTGGACAGAAAAATCAATAAGCTATGAACAATGCCAAATCTAGACGACTACCATCACCAACAGTAGTAGCAGCCCTTTCTAATAACCTCAAGTTACAACACTCACCCTAACCTTACTTCAGCCTCGATTCCCCCGACCCACACATTAAAAGCATCTTCTACCATTTCAACCCCACTCAAAAGATTTCTTTCTTTCATTTTGATATGAAAACAGATCCACAGTTCAAATTAATTATTTTCCATGTCTCTTTGTCTAAAATTTTTTTACACTCAGTGCTTTTAAAAGAACATATATATATGAATTGGAATCAAATATGGATTAAATCCAACAGAATGACAGAATAAAGAACAAGTAGAAAAAACGTTTATAAATTTAAGATATACTTTTATTTAAGCATCATCAGAAATTTTTGAATAAGAAATTCCAAAAATTTCTGATGAAGTTTAAATAAAAGCAAAACGTTAAATTTTAAAAAATTAAAAATTTTATCATTTTTTAGCTGAAAATTTCTGATGAAGCTTAAATAACAGTTAAATATATAAACATTTTCTTATTTCCTATCTGAAATTCTGGGATAAGAAGTTATCATTTACACTATTTATATTGAGACAATATCCTCATCTTTGGTAGTGTTATGTTTCAGCCAGAGGGCACAAATGAAACATTGTGATAACAGCAACTAAGATGAGGACAATAGTTCAAATATAAATAGTGTTTTCTCCATTTGTTCCTTATTCTATCATATATATATATATATATATATATATATATATATAGGCATGGTGGAGTAATGGATAGCGGCTTGGATTGAGGAGTCGCAGAGCCAAGTTTGAATTCAGTTGAATCCATTACATTCACTTACGTGTTAATATCCTTGGGAAAGGTATGAATCCTCATCTTCTCCCTCCAGCTATGGGTAAAATAGAGGACAGACTGGGTTTTATAGCCTTGGATGGCAACTGGTCTAGGAGAAGGACAACTCTGAATTCAAAACCTGCGGAGGGTCGTTTGGGAACCTTGTGGCACATGGTGCACCAGGTCTCTGTATTTGACTCTTCAAAAAGAGTGTGGATGGTCCTGCACGAGGCCTTCACCACTATCATCAAATCTCATGTGTTGTTGTCGGTTTCCTGGATACTGATCTGCTTGACCCTCATATGTCGAATTTGGGAGAGGATTAATATATATATATATATATATATATATATATATATATATATATATATATATGTGTGCGTGTGTGTGTATATAAAAGAACATAAAAATGTTAGGTCAGACACTGGAGTTAGACCAATGGACAGATATTTTAAGAGAGTGGTCAATACACAATTCAAAAAATTGAACATACAGAGCAGATATATATATATATATATATATATATATATATATCTCCCACTTTAAAACTCGACCTTGTGCCACATCTTGCTGCGTGGGGCAGCAAGTAAATAATTATATATATATACATATATATATTATGTGGAGACATGGTATTGTAATGGATAGCAGCTAGGATTGAGGAATCAGTGAGCAGAGTCTGAATTTCACTCGAATCCATTACATTCACTTATGTACTAATACCCTTGGGAAAGATATGAATCCTCATCTTCTCCCCATAGTTATGGGCAAATAGCAAGACAGACTGGGTTCTATAGCCTTGGATGGCAAGTGGTCTAAGAGAAGGACACACTCTGAATTCAAAAACTTGCGGAGGGTCATTTGGGAACCTTGTGGCACATGGTGCACCAGGTCTCTGTATTTGGCTCTTCAAAAAGAGTGTGGTTGGTTTTGCACAAAACCTTTACCACTATAATCAAGTCATATGTGTAGGTGTCTGGCTGTCAGTTTCTAGGAACTGAGTTACTTGACACTCATACATCAAAAAACAATGGGAGAGTGCAGCATATATATAGACCCTGTGCCTGACAAACTGGGAACACCACCCAATGAAACTATAGTCGCATGTCAAAAATGTAGGTATGTATGTATGTATATATATATATATATATATATATATATATATATATATATATATACATACACACACACACACACACACACTCCCACATGTCATAGGAATGTTTACAGAATGTACATGCTGTGATTGTCTCATTCAATGGAAATGCATTTTTATCCTTATTATTAGAAATCTTCCAAGTCAGTTTGCCAATAAGCATCATGTTATCAACTAGGGTTCAATTATTACATTCTATTGGAACGGCTCTGTCATCTTTATGATGGCTGACATATTCAAATAATGTAAATGTATCCAATTTTGCATTTAACTCAATAAATTAGTTAACACCCCAAAATACTTTGTTGGGCTTTTGGTAAATATTCCTTTAATAGAAAAGGATATTGTTTTCAAATTGCTACAATATAAAACAGATTAGAAACAAAGAAAATTAAATATGAGATTTGAACCATAAAATATAAGTTTTTTTTCAGTGGCACACACGTTTCAAGACTGGTTGAATGTCAGTTAAAGTGTGAATATAAAGTGATAAGTAATATTTCTGTAAGGAGGGATCTATCCACACTCACAGATACAGGCACCCCACAGTCAAATTAAGTTTTTGAGCTTTCAGCATCTTTAAGACTGTTAAAACACAACTGTTGAAATAAACAAATCTTTGTCTCTTTTCTTCTCTTCTCATTTTTTCACCCAAATAAAGAAAGACCTTTCAAGCACAACTGCAAGAGTCTGCATTGTAATTTTTTTTACATTCTGCAACTAAGATGTAATATTATATGTCCTTGCAAAAATACATTACAGCATACCAATTAGATTTGAATCACAAGCCCATTAAAAATAAACAGATAAAAAAAGCCTCAATTACAATGAAACATAATAGGAAAGGATATTGTTTTCAAATTGCTACAACATAAAACAGATTAGAAACAAAGAAAATTAAATATGAGATTTGAACCATAAAATGGCAAAAAGTATCTGGCTTATTAAACACAAGTTTTCTAAAACATTAGTTTTTGAAAATCTCAGAAAGGCAGACCCACAATTAATATATATATCTTTTTAAATAATAATTCAGATTATTGCAGATTAGATCACAGGCCTATGATTTCTAAAACTTAATTTTTCTTTGTATGGAAAGACAATTAGTTTTTTCTTAATTCTAGTTTTCAAGATTAGTAAAAGAATGCTTTCTTAGCTACTCATTCATTCACTGCATTCTGCTTACAACAGGGGTTCTCAACAGGGGTGAATTGTGACCATAGTAAGTTTAGTGGGGAGGAGAGCAATTATAGAATTTGGCCTGTCACCTTGAAAAAGAGGGGGGCAGGAGATGGCATTCTGACAAATGGTGAAAGGTGTGAATGGGGCAAAAATGAGCTTTTTACAATATTTTTATCATACACTCATGTGTTAAAAAATAAATACTTAATTTGGATCAAAGATCTTTAAGGGGGGGGTTAAGGAACAATAATTTGAAACGTGCTGATAACAGTTTTAAGAATTGTAGCAGGAAGTTTGGGATTCAATAGCACTTACACTGGAAACACACTCGCAACGGATTCTGGTTCAGTATGCCCTTAGGTGACCTGTGTTGAGTGCAAAAGGTTCCTGACGTCTCAACACTTGCCTTTTTTATACGTTCTTGCCAAGCCAGAGAATTTGCATATTGAGCATGATGCCAGCCTTGATCTAACTCTTTGACACATGTGCCTTGTCATTCCAGCATCGATTGGATGGTTGGCCTCACTAGCAATTCGCTCATCCTATACGCACATTTAGTCTATGTTACTCTAACCTTCTTGGACCTCTGAGGTAATTCTCCAGCACAAGACGCTGTATAGTTTTTGTACAAGAAACTGCTTATGTTAAAAGTATTATACCCCAGAAATACATTGCATGAGGTTTTTTTTTTTTTAAACATTTTTTTGTCAAAACATAATCTTTGTTGTTATATACATAATGACAATATGGCAGATACAACAAACAATTTTAGGGAGTTAGCTGATGAAAAGTGGAAAATCTTGTACATCTGTTACACAAGAGAGCTGCCAAATAATCAAGAAAGTTTGCCACTCACCTGAGCCTCCAGCTTTTTCAAATCGTTTAACAGCATCATATTTTCCCGCTCCAGTTCACTCACTTGGACCCGGTACTTCTGCAGGTTCTCCTGAAAACAAGATTAAAAATAAAATTTCAAGATTTTGAAAAGAAAATCTTATTTTGTCAACAATAATGAAAAAGAAAAAATTATTCAGCCAGCTGTTTATACACACTACAGTTTAGTACTCTTTTCTTGGTGTATTTTAATTGTATTATAAATATGACAAATGTTGTAAGTGAATGCATAATACTAGTTTATGTCATCTGCAAAGGTTTGAATCTTACACCTAGACTTAAAGTTTAATATATATATATATATATATATATATATATATAAAAAACACAGTGTTTGTGTGTGGCATAAATACATCCCACATCTTAAACTCTCACCTGTGTGGTGCTTGTGAGCTTAGGCAAGTGGCAATGATGTCTTCACCTAGATAATGTGTCTTACCATTTCTTTTCATATAGCATCATGTCTTGGAATAGTACACATGATGTGTTTGCTGTTGAAACATACTTTTAAGACTGGTGAATCTGTAATTGCAACACAGAGAGCTTTCCAAGTTCATTTCATGTTATGCCAGAATGGTGCTGTTCCAGATTGAAAATCGATACTGCTACAGGTTGAAATTTTCAATGCCACAGGTTCAGCACTTAAAAGAAAGACACCTGGAAGTCCTTGAAGCACTGAAACTTCTGGGTAATGGAAAACTTTATAAATCGTCTACAACAGCGTATGGTGAAAAGAGTCCACCACTTGGGGTTGGGGGGCATTTTTAAAACTAAATGAATAAAAACTGTAGCCCTTTGTTTAAACATCAATGAAATAAAGTTTTTTTTAATAGTATTGGTCTTTTTTTCAATTTTTGAAATATGGGAGGTATTTCTGCCATAACTTATATATATATATATATATATATATATATATATACACACACACAAAAAAAAGAAAAAAAGAGTGATACCCAAGGTTTAAAATACATCTTAAAAAATAAAGTCTTACTTGAATCTTTTATTTTAGTTTTAATTTCAAGCTAATAGATTAAATTTAATATTTCCAATAAGCAAAATACTTTACTGTATTTCAAACTGAATTTACATTGATTGGAATGATTTTTTTTTTCTGATTATCAGTAAAATCGATAATATCATCCATATTGGCAAATAACACAACATAATTCTCTTTCTAAAAAAAAAAAAAAAAAAAAAGAATCTTTAAAAGTTCACAAAAGACAATCTACTTGTAAAACCATAAGAAATGCAGATGACACAGAAAAGAAACTACAAGAATTCCTAAAGAAAGTAGTAAAGGAAAGAAAGGATTGATTGCAAGAAAAGAGACTACATGATTGTTAGCAAAAGGAATAGATTAACATGCAAATTACAAATTGGAAATATATCAAAATCAAACAAGTACAACAATTTAAATATTTGCGAAGTATTTTAACAGAGGAGGGAAAGTTTGACACTGAAATCCAAAGACATATTGGGATACTGAAAGATGCTTTCCAAAAGCTAAGCAAAGTATTGAAAAACAGAAAACTTTGTTAGAAACAGAGAAAAGAGTACTGAAATGTTATACAATATCAGTCTTCCTATATGACAGTTTAATGACATCCTCGCAGATAAAGAAGAGACTTGAAGCAACAGAAATGTGTTTCTACTGAAGGATGCTGAGAATACAAATTGGACTGAACATGTGAACAACAACAAAGTTCTAAAGAAAATGAAAACAAAAAGGACACTTATACTGAACATCAGAAAGAGTTGAAATTTCTAGGGTACATAATGGTGGAAAAACTGGAAAATTTAATACTCACAGGACATTGAAGGCAAATTTGTTCAATTTAACCTATTGTTCTGAAAATTGAGTTTTAAATTCTTTTTTGTGCTTATTAACATATAAAAAACCTGGCATCATATGGGCAATGGATAAAAATATTCAAAATTGATAGGTGTACAAATAATTTCATTGTTGACTGTATATGTATACACACATACTTTATCAAAAGGTATCATGACTGTTGCTATGGTAACAGAGCCAAAGTATGCAAAGTGAAACTACTTGGCATAGACTGACATTGAACTCTGTGAAGTATGCACACTAAATTATAACATTCTTACTCACTTCTGTTGTTTATAGTAGTTCTTGGAAGGAAAGTGTGTAGAGTGTGGTCATCTCACCAGAACACAGAGGTTCCATCAGTGACCATGGCAAAGAAAACTAAGCAGAGAATCTGCATCAAATTTGACTAAAAACTTGGTGATATCTATACAGAGACTGACACAAAGTTGCAGAAAGTGTATGGAGAGGAGTGAATAAGCTGGAGATGAATATGAGTAGTTCATATATTACCAAAATGGCAGACAAAATGTTGACAAAGACGCACATTCTGGGATACCTGATAAAAACATCACAGATGAATGTGCAGCTGCTTGGAAAGACCAATGAATCATTGTGAGTTGTCAGAGGATATGAACATTAGTTACAGTTCAAGCCAGGCCATTCTCACTGAAGATTTTTGGTATGAGATGTATGCCTGCTAAGTTTGTGCCAAAACTGCTTTCAGTTGACCAAAAAGAAAATCGGGTTACAGCTGCACAGGATCTTCTTGCGTGTGTCACAGAAGACAAAAACAGTCATAACAGGTGATGAATTGTGGGTCTATGGCTATAACCCTGAAACAAATGTTGAGTCTTCGCAGTGGAAGATCCCAACCTCTCTGAGACCAAAAAAGGCACAAATGAGTCTAAGTAATGTGAAGAAACTGTTGACAGTTTTCTTTGACTACAAGGGCATTGTTTATCATGAGTATTTTCCACCTAGTCCAACAGTAAACAAGGAGTACTGCCATGATGTTGGCAGAATGCTGTTTGTCAGAAAAGGACAGAACTGCATGTGTCTGGTAAGTGGTAACTCCATCATGAAAATGCACCTGCCCATTCAGCGCAGTTTTTAGCCAAGAACAATATTTCAAGATGTTGAGGAAATTAAAGAGAGTGTTATGAGGCAGCTGCTCACTATCTCAAAAAGGAGTTCCAAAAATGCTTCCAGCAACAGAAACAACACTGTGTGTGGCTTCAGGAGGGGAGATTAAATGCCGAATTGATATGTAGTTTTCTTTTTATAGCACCAGTCCCAATACATTTTGATCAGAGCTTGTATATGCACACACACACGCATATACACATGCAGACACAGACAGCATATGGCAGAAATACCTCCAACGTAATGGTAAGACATTAACTAGAAAAGACACCATTGTCACTAATGATTTACCATTATATGGGTGGTATATATGAGGGGTATTTCTGTCACACTCAGTATATATAACAAGCCTCTCCCCAGCTTTACTAACTAATGATAGCTTTATGCTTGATATATTCAGTTGTTGAAATATTAATTAAATTTGAACATATTAAAGTGTAGTGATTTAAATATGCCTGTGTTTAAGTGGGGGATAATTATTAAAATCTGTTAATTCAATAACAGGATTTGCAAACATTTGGCTTGTTTTTCAAGAAAGAGAGTTGTATGCAATTAACAGGAACAATCTTATCCACAAACTATCAGAAATGGCCAATTTTTCTTTGATGTGCCATGCTCCTTCAGGATATTGTGATCATGGCTCTCCACAATTTCCTGTCCTTTGTAGCTCTTAGTAAATTTTGCCTTTTTGCTATCTCTCCTAAATCCTGTTCTTTCATCCATTTACACAAGATCATTTAGGTAGGTTATGTACTGTTTTCCTCAATCCCTTATGCCTTCAATAAGTCCTGTGAGTATCAAATTTTCCAAGCCTTCTTTCATTATTATGTGCCCTAGAAATTTTAACTATCTCTTTCTGATGTTAAGTATAAAATATCCTTTTTTGTTTTCATTTTCTCTAAAACTTTGTCACTGCTCACATTTGTTCTAATAGTATTCTCAGCATCCTTCTGTAGAACCATATTTCTGCTGCTTTAACTCTCTTCTACATCTACATTCACTGCCATATAGGAGAGTTGATATTACATAACAGTTCAGCAATCTTTTCTTTGTTTCTAAAAAAATGTTTTTGTTTTCCAATACTTTGCTTAGCTTTTGCAAAGCATCTTTCAGTATCCCAGTGCATCTTTGGATTTCAGTGTTACACTTTCTGTCATCTGTTAAAACACTTCCTAAATATCTAAACTTTTGTACTTGATTTTAGTATTTCTAATTTGTAATTTGCATGTTGGGCTGTTCCTTTTGCTCATATCCATACAGTCTATCTTCTTGCAATTGATGTTTAGTTCTTTCTTTTCACTTTACTTCACTCCCTTCTTTAGGAGTTCTTGTAGTTACCATTCTATGTCTGCTATCAACACTGTGTCATCTACATATCATATGTTGTTAAGATTGTGGCGACCAATAATGAATCCTGATAGGACTTATAATTCTCTCAGAATCACCTCACTGTATAGCTTGAATAAGTCTGGTGAGAAGACTCATCCTTGTCGTACACCCCTTTCTATATTGTATATTTACTGAATTCATTTTCTATCCATATGTAGGCAGCTTGCTTCCAGTATAAGTTCTGGATTATTCGATTATCCTTCCCAAATATGTCATGGTTATCTAGCAGTTCTCATAGTTCTTTGTGATGTACTTCATGAAATGCTTTTGAATAATCTATAAAACATAAGTATACATCCTTTTTTGTCTTTGTACTGCTCTTTTAAAATGGTCAGTTGACAAACCTTCTTTTGAGATAACAATATATATTTTTATATATCAAGAACAATATTGGGGAAATTGTATGACAAAGTGGAGAAAAAAAAAATCTAAAATCCCCAGCACCCCTCATTCATGCGTATGTGTAGTCATACGACAATGACAAATTTAGTCCGAGGAAGTCCTGAAGGACAAAATCTATCACAACTAAACTTTTTCCACTTTGATATACAATTTCCCCAAACCTTTTATATAAAATTTCATTACATTTTGATATATGTTAATTTCTTTTAGAGTAGAAAAAATTTCATTTTTTTTAAAATTTTTTTTTATAGAAAGGAGAACAACTTCAATATTCTCTGCACCGAAAAAAAAAATGGATAGTTTGAGAAAAAAATTGATTTTAAGAAAATCCAACTCACCTCATATGTGACAGATAAGTTAAACCTTTCTTGTTTGAGCTGACCAATCTTGGCCTTATACTGGACCATGTTACTGACCAACTCCTCCATTCTGAAAAAAACAAAACAAAAAAAAAAACAGAAAATAAGTATCAAATTTACAACCTTTCATCTTTTCTGCATTTTATTTTAATTACTGTAAACATAGATCAATAAATTGAAGTAAAATTCTCCTGCATTTTCATCATTTGTTATTTCTACTGCAGCTTATAATTGCTACATATAATTATAATATATCAATATTTTGACATATCTTTATTAAATATAGTATATAATAATGAGTAATCCACCTAACAAGCTTGAGTGAATTGATAGCAGAGGGATGATAAAGAGTAAAACACTACTGAGAGCTACAAGGTACAGGAAATTGTGGAGGGCCATGATCTCTCACATCTTTAAGAGATACAACACATGAAATAAGGAGAATATATAAGTTCTAAGAATGGGAAATGAATAGTTCTTGTTCCTGGACACTTCTCTGCATATAACCAAATGAACAAACATAAATCTAATACCTTCCTGAATGGGGGTGAGGAGATATTATCCCAACATTTTTTTGTTTTACCCTTAGTTGTAGTTGTTATAGTAGTATACAAACACACACACACATATATATTTGACATATGAGGGTCAAGCAGATCAGTTTCTAGGAACCGACATGAGATTTGATTATAATGGTGAAGGTTTTGTGCAGAATCATCTACACTTTTTGAAGAGCCAAATACAGAGACCTGGTGCACCGTGTGCAACAAGGTTCCCAAATGACCCTCTGCAGGTTTTTGAATTCAGAGTATGTCTTTCTCTTAGACCACTTGCCATCCAAGGCTATAGAACCTAGTCTGTCTTGCTATTTTCCCATAACTGGGGGGAGAAGATGAGGATTCATATCTTTCCCAAGGGTATTAGCACATAAGTGAATGTAATGGATTCGAATGAAATTCAGACACTGCTCACTGATTCCTCAATCCTAGCTGCTATCCATTACAATACCATGTCTCCACATGATGATTATATATATATATATAAGTACATATACACATACCTACGTTTAGGTGATGTTCCCAGTTCATCAGGCATGGGTCTATATATATATATGCTGGACACTTCCATTGTTTTTTAATGTATGAGGGTCAAGCAACTCAGTTCCTAGGAACTGACAGCCAGACAACCGGTACATATGATCTGATTATAGTGATGAAGGTTTTGTGCAGAACCAACCACACTTCTTTTGAAGAGCCAAATACAGAGACCTGGTGCACCATGTGCCACAACGTCTCCAAACGATTCTCCGCAGGTTTTGAATTCAGAGTTGTCCTTCTCCTAGACCAGTTACCATCCAAGGCTATAGAACCCAGTCTGTCCTGTTATTTACCCATAGCTGGAGGGAGAAGAAAAGGATTCATATCTTTCCCAAGGGTATTAGCACATAAATGGATGTAATGGATTAGACTGGAATTCTAACTCGGCTCTCAGATTCCTCAATTCAAGCTGCTATCCGTTACTCCAATACTTATCAATTTTGTTTATAATTTTCATAGTTTTTTCAACCATTAATTTTCAGTATTTTGATAAGAATAAGACTTTGTTATTGAAGAGCAAAGTTTGAAAATGAGTTGACATCAATAAATATTGAAACTTCTGTTTCTATAATTATTACTCTAGGCAAATATCAATCACTTTATTGGGAGAAATTACCTTGATATACATTAAATTGTGTGTGTGTGTATATATATATATATATATATATATTTGAATGTAAGAGTTATTTAAATCAGTTAAAGCCAAGACATACAAAAGATGTCATGCCTAGTGAAGAATTACCAATGGAGGTATAACTCTGGCAAAAATATCTCCAGTTATTTCTACCTAGAAATCAGTCATATTGACTGGCTAAGAGATGAAAAACAATGCAAAAAGCATGAGCAAATGTTCCTGCAGATGCTTGTTGTTGCACAATATGTGGACTTGTATGCAGGTCACTAGTGGGACTGAAGTGCCGCATACAACAAAAACACAGAAAACCGAATCAGGATGTTGGATCCTCATTTGTCAAAATTGACAGTAGAGTCCATCATCCACACACACACACACACACACACACACATATATATATATATATATATATATGAGAGAGAGAAGTAGAATTACTATTTTATATATACATATTTTAAAAATATAGTTTTAATTTCTGCTATATTTATGGTTAAAAGTGGTATCAGAGATAGAGTGTGTATAAATATAAAGGCCTGAAGATTGTATTCATGCATGAAACTGACTGCTGTTGACCTCTCTCTCTCTCTCTCTCATATATATATATATATTATAAAAAGCTCAAACACTAATATTATGGAATATTAGTGTTTGAAACTTTTATATTATATTCTTACTCTGTCCTGGACATTGAGTTCTACCTGGATTCTATCCTCTTGGAAATTTGTGTGTATATATATATATATATATATATATATATATATATATATATATATGTGTGTGTAGCTAAAATTATTTTATAGATGATGTAGCAATTGATTGGATATAGTCACTCCACTTCATGTTAGTGAACAATGTGAGCCCAAGACAACAGAGTGTTGCCCTCCTGGAGTCTATCATCAGCCATTTTGATGGCAGACAGAGATAAGGTTCTCTGTGGTGATTAAATGAAAGCAATTTTATTTTGTAGGCATTGAAATTTACAAGCCATTATCATTAATTACTGTCAGACAAATGTCCTCATCTTTGTTGTTAGTATCATATCATTTCAGCAGTTGTACACTCCAGCCTTTTCTTAAATATGTTAGGGAACACCATAAAAGATTTCAAGAAACACTATGTTTTCTGTTTAAATTTCTGGGATGTGAAATTGTCAAATAAAGGAGTTACTTCAAATAAAAGGTTAGGAAGGAAACACTCCTCAATACTGGAAAGAGCAATGGTAAATATATTTTTCCTTGATATTGAAAATATCCCTGTACCAATGTTGGTTCTGTTTGACAAAATATTTACTTTATTTGATAGTACATTAGTTTTGTTTATTCTCATTGAATCTTGTAGAGCATTGGGCACCACAACCCTAAAAACATCAATAGACATTTCCAGAAGATTCCTTCTAGTTGTACCAATAGCAGCCCTGAGCAACCTTTGCCTTGCTAGTAACTGTTCTTCACCAGATCTCCTTTGGTCTCACAACTCTTCTGTGGATTCCAGTCAAGTGCTTTGCTTTCAGATATTGACAGCTAGTTATCATAGTGTATGTTTAGTTCATTCCACCCCCATTTTTACATCTTCACATCCCAGTTAAAGAAGTTGTGATTATTTCCCTTCTATAGGATGATGCTGGAGATCTTTCCAGGCCATCTGATATTCAGAATGTGTAAAAAATAAAAAACATCTGTTGGCAAAGGATCTGGAGCTTGTTGGTAATGAGTATTTATTCATGTTTATGACTAAAGTCCATACAGGAGAAAAGTATTTATGTTAATATTGAAAAATTCTAATTTCATTTCATAGAAATAATGTCTTGAAGTTTTAGATATGTTGCAGGATGTTGAATGTGTATCTCATCTTGTTGATGGCAAATAAGACACATTTTTGTTATTCCTAAAAATTATATCTAAAAGATTATCTGAAGCTAAGGTTGTGAGTCGTCTCATGTTTATTTACCCAGACACCAATATTTGTACCTAGCCATTTTCCTTTAAAGATTTTTTCTGCTGTCCTAGTTATGTGTTTTGACTGTTTTTTTTTTTTCGTGTTCTATAGCTTCCTATCACAATAGCATTAAATGCTTGCTCAGAAGAATGCTAAAAACATTTTTTTTAATATTCTCTGCCAAATTGTGGTGGAGTGTTTTTTTTTTGTTTATGCCTGTGGGCTTTATATGCCATCAAATATGGTACTCTCAATAACAAGACAAGATTTTTATTTAAAGTAAATTAATGTTGTTTTTTATCTTTCAAGATTTTCATACAAGATACAAAAATATAAACACAGATGAAATAATTAGCATTGTCTTGAGTTGTTTTCTTACTCTTAAAAAATTTAAGAAGTAGTGCTGTAATAAGTGGATAGTGGATTGATTCAACTTCGGCACACAGATATATACATGGGTCACTGAGGAAAAAAATGACTAACAATGAGCAAGATGATCTTGGGAGCCACTGCACTAATCTAAGTAATACACAAGCAGCTAATACATCAAGAAGTTATATTTTCCTAGATTAATTGCAAAACTTTACTTGAGTAAACATTATATTTCAGTGAAAGTAAAAAAGATATGACAAATAGCACAAAATATTATTGACACAGACAATGGAATTGGTGGGCCAAGATCAAATTTCTGCCAAGTCTGTTGCATTCACTTTCATACAAATACCCTTGTAAAAGAGCATGGATCCATCTCTTTTCCTCCCAGTCATGGGTTAAATAGCAGAGTAGACTGGACTCTCCAGCGTTTGAGGGCAACTAGTCTAAGAGAACGATGGCAATAGATTTGTTTCATTGCTTATCAACCTAAGAGAAAGAAAACTTTGAATTCCAAAGCATGGAGAAAGTGACAAGAAATTACTATATTTCCCAGGAAGTAGTGACAATTTGCAGATAATAGAGAAAAAGAAACCACAGAGAGTCATGATGGCTTAAGTCCTGACGGAATATAGCATTCTAAAGAAAAATTACAGAATCTTTTTAAATTGACAGTTTTATACAACACATATTCAAATATGAGGTCAGGTAAAAAAAAAAAATCATTTTTAACCAAAATATATTGTAATTGTTGTTGTAGTAGCATTTGTAATAGTAGTAGTATCTATTGTATGCAATAGTAGTAGTATTAGTAATTGTAAATATATCTAATTGTAGTAATATCACATGTATTAGCAGTTGTAGTAGTGACTGCTAGTGACATTTTTTTTTTTAAAAAAAAGCATTACGAAACATCTGTTCTTCAGTAAATTAATGACTTAAAATGATTTTCTAGCTTTCAAGATTTTTGAAGTTTGATGTATTTTTATTTTTAATTCTGAATGTTCACTACCCAACCCCATCCTAACTCCT